ACGAAATCACAGCTGAGAAATGCCCGTGATGGGAATGATAAGGGACCCTCTGAAAGGCGCCCAGCTTTGCATGGAGAAGGCAGCAGCTCAGCGTGGCGACCTCATGGGGGTGGGTCCCAAGCACCCCTGTCCCTGTGGGCAAGAACTGCAGGCAGGGCCAGCTTCCACATGGGCACCCCGGCTCTGCCCAGCCGGACCTGCGCCTGGCAAGAGGGGAGGCAATAGTGAGTGAGTATGCCACTTCACACCTCAGGCGTGGGCACAGGACATTCTGGGTTCATAAAGGAAGGGACAAGGCTGGGGTTTACAACCCAGAACACGCAGCAGGCTCGACCTGGGGTATGTGTCCAGCAGAAGAGACCCCTCCCAAGACACCTCTTCTCGTGGAAGGCCCAGGGACACCCAGGATCGCACCCACCTCGAGGCCATCGGGGGGAGGAAGGCATGGGGTCCTGACTGGCTGGCCCAAGCCCTCAGGCCACCCCACTCAGGGCGGAAGGAGTCCTTTGGGGTGGGCAGCTGTGGAGGGGTCCCAGGCCCTAACCCAGCCCCAGGGAGCCAGCAAGAGGCACATGGGCCACGAACACTGACGAGTGGGAGCTGTGGGCCTGGTGAGAGGGGGCCGGAGTGCGGGGGGTGAGGCAGCCACAGCATCCAGCCCTCGGCATCATCACCCGACAAGGACTGGGCTCCACGCTGACCGGTGGCCAGGATCGAGGCCAGGGACTCACGGGACAGGGCACCTGTCCACCCCCAGCCCACCAGCTCTTCCCCTGGCCCACACGACCCCCTGCCCTGGCACAGCCCTGCAGGCCCCTCCCCAGCCTCCCCCGCCCTTCCTGGCCCCACTGCCCCTTTGCAGGGCCTCTGCCACCCTGTCCTCTCTCAGCTGCCACCTGCTTAGAGGCCCGACCTCCTCCTCTGAGCTAAAGCCCCTCTTCACACCCTCACCCTGCTCCCCTCCCAGACCCTCAGCACCACCCGGCAGACCGTGATGGGTCCTTGCATGATCGTCTGGGTCCCCGAGAAAGCCAGGCCCTGGGGCAGGCAGTGTCCCTCTCTCCTGGCCAGGGGAGTGCTCTGTCCCTGCTTGAGTCGAATGAGGGTGTGAAGAGCACGTGGCAACCTGCATCCTCCAGCCCACGGGCCAGCGTGGTCCCACCCAGAAAGGCACACACCGCCTGCTCCTCAAGACTGCAGGGCGCCTCTTGCATCTGGTGCTGGGTTCCCTCCTTCGCTGTGGGGGTGACAATCCAGACGTGAGAGCCCGGCAGGCCAGGGTGGTGGCCGTGTCACTGAAGCACCTCATGCAGGCAGGAGGCCCGCAGGCTTGGCCAGCTCTCTGTTATTGCCCCGTGGGGCCGCAGAGCAGCTGAAGGGCCCTTCTGAGTCCCTGCTGTACAGACCAGACATGGGCAGGGAGCACAGCAGGCCCCTCCGCTGTGCAAGGACAGAATGGGCTCAGGGGATCCACCTCTCCAGGAAAAGCAGCCACTCCCTGATCTTCCAGGAGGAAAACCCACCTGACTGAAGAGCAGGCCCCTCAGGCAGGATAGGTACCATCTCTCTGCAGGGGAAGGGCAGGCAGCAGCTCTTGGGCGCATCCGGAAATGGAGGAGGTGGAGGTGAAAGTACCCCACACACCCCCACCACCACCACACCCTGCTTGGCCAGAAGAGCAGTGGCGACCAGGCCTCTAATGAGGCCTCCAGAGCCCCCACACCTTTAGGAGGCGCCGGGGCTGCTGAGAGCGTGAGTGCCTTCTCGGAGCTCGACCGGTCCAGCAGGATGAGCCTGTCTAGGGTTTGCCAGCGCCGCAGGCAGGAGCTGCACTGAAGTGCAGGAGGCAGCCTCAGTGTGGCCACAGCGCAGGAGATGAAGGTGGCCTGGGAAAGCACAGGCGCCCTCCCTGACAGGCTCCAAATCCCAACCTCCTCCCACAGCTGCGAGGAGCTGAGGAATGTGACCCACGCTGAAAATGGCAGAGAACAAGGGGTTGCTACCTTTAGGGACAGGTCACCTTTATCCCACCCGTGCCCTCATCTGCAGGGTGGAGAGACCTTTTAGGAACACACAAGGACCCACTTCCTTATCCACCATCTCGAGAAGTCACCTGCCATGGTCACCCACGGCATCCACTGTCCCCACAGAGTGCACCCTTCACTCCCACCCTACTGTCTGCCCACAGATGTGGCCGTGGGACCAATGGCTCTAAGCACATCCCTGCCTGAGGCAAGTGGGGTCCTGCAATCAGAGCGCTGGGGTGGCTTCTGTAGCATGAGGGGGCATCTGGCCCAGGCCCTCTCATTGACCAGCAGCCCAACAGCCCAAAGGCCTGGGAAAGGGACCCAGCCCCAGGCCCGCCTGCCTTGCCCACCAAATTCTCCAGCACCCGAGTCCTCCCTGGCTCTCCGGGGCTCGGGCCTCACGTCTGAGCAGCCAGGACCCTGCCTCCCCTGAAGTACAACGCATCCGGCCGAGGTTTTCTGAGGGGAGGATAAAATGGTCCCGGTCAGCCCGCCCAGCAAGATGTGGGAACAGATAGGACATAACAACTTCATAATCACATCCATCAACATTACTTTAAAGGCACCTATTGGGATCCCGCCTGAGGCTCCCACCCACACGACTCACCCCCGATCAGTGGCCACCATTCCCCAGATCCTTCATGAGTGCGGAGCAGCACTGTGGAGGCGGCAGGCTAGCAGGGCAGGCCTTGCCCTAGAATGGCACGGCGGGGAACGGCAGGAGCAGGGCGAGAGCCAGACGGGGCGGACAAGGGATGAGTGGGCCGCCCAGGGGGTGCCTGCAGTGACAAGACCCAGCAAATCACAGCTGCACTTTCTTCACACAGAGCTGCAAGGGAAGTGGCCAGGCATCCGGCTTGCTCAGAGGCTCTGGCCTGTGACCACAGGCCTGGACACCTGACTCCAAGAGATGGCTCTGTATCGTGGCTGCAAACGTTGAGGCCAGCACAGGGTGTGGACAAGTTGGGACCCCTGGCTGTTCAGTGTTTGCCCCAAAACTCATGCAAACTCAGAGGCTGCCTTCAAGAGAAAGCAACATGGAGCAGCCCAACCCAGACGATGACAGAGAAGCCAGAGAGGGATGATTACCCCACACAGGCCCATGCTGAAAAGACACAGGACGCCTGAAATAACTCCTTACCCTGGAGTCCAGCCTCTGCCCTGCTCCTTCAGTCTTTCCGAGCCGGCTCTGGTGTGGGCTGAGGCCAACCTAGGCAACCACAGGAAACGAATGCAGGGAGGCATGCAGAGAAGCGGCTCCAGCTCCCAGAAAGTAACTTTATGCCCCTCACCCCGGCTTCCCACTGACCGGAACAGAGCAGTGATGGCAGGGGCTGCAGCAGCCATCTCAGGATACAAGGTGGAAGTAACGTGTTTAGAGCAGCACAACAGCAAGAGAAAGGTAGGAGCACAGTGATGGCAGAGCTCCAGGCCAGCCCTACACCAGCTACCTGGATTTTTAAATGTGAGAGAAATTCATGGCCGTCTTGTTTAAGACAGTGTTATTTTGGATTTTCAATCACTCAGAGCTGAAAAAAAACATAGCCCCTTCTGTCCATTCTCCTGTCTTCTCCCTCCCGACTACCGCAGCAGCTTCTCGCCGCCTGCCTCTGAGCCCACTCCAGGTAACTCCACATCATTGCCTCATCTCACCCAAATGCAAATATGATCACATCCCCACACCCATCCTCGCATCAAACCTTTCAAAGGCTTACTGATGCTTTTTGACCCAGATGAAAGTCCTCCTCATGGCCTTGAAGGACCTTATTTTGCATCAGGGATGGCTTCTCAGCCTGGCCTCCAGCCTGGCAGCCTTCCTCAGGGCCCTGGGCAAACCATGCCCCCGGCCCTGGGCCTCAGCTGTCACAGACCTCGGCCCAGGAGGTCTCCCCTCCCCTTTTTACCCACTCAGGCCCACTTGTGGGAAGCCGCACCTTTCCCTTCCCATTCCAGGCTCCAGGTACCGTGGGCCTCCCCTACTTTCCTGAGCCTGTGAGAGGGTGGAGACCACAGGTGGCACGTGATACCAGATGAAGGAGTGAGGACTGTACCAACGACTGCCATGGTCTCTAATGGATGTCCCCAGCAGCCCTGAGGAGGAGGCACTCTACAGAAGGGAGGCTGCAGCTTTGCAAACGCTACACGGACACGTCCGCAGGAGGTTTTCGAGCCCGTGGATGGATCTCCTTCGCTGCTGCAGCTCCTGCTTCTGCATGGGCATCCGGCAAGCACAGGCCGGACACTGGGCCCATCTGCAGGGCTCATCAGACTCTCCCCCACAGGCCAGGGCTGGATGGAACTGGTATGTGGCTTCCTGGATCTCCAGGAGCCTCTTCCATGAGGACTGGACTTCTGAAAATTGTTCCCTTGCCTAGGACTCAGCACTAGGGCCTGCCTATGAGATAATCTAACTCTCTCAAAAGAAAACTGTGTTGGCCAATCCTTTCCAGCCACAGAGTCTGTGGGACTTTTCTTGAGAAGCAGCACCCAGGTACACACACACTGCCCAGGGAGGCGTCTCCACTCATCAGCTGCCCCTGGCACGGACGCAGGAAAAGGTCACAGCTCTGACCTTCAAGGTCCAACTACAGTGCCTGTGAAACTTCCCTCTGGGGACAGGGACCGCATCAGGATCACAGCATGCAGAGGCAGCAGAGGCCACCTGCCGAGAATGATGTCCACAAACGAGGACCGCGCCTCACTGCAAGGGCCAGCAGGCCGTGTGCTCTCTGCAACCGCTGCTGGGTGCGGCCCGCCCTCCACTCAGGCGTGGGACCCTCAGTCCCCGCATGTCCACACCCCGACCTCTGCCATCTCAGAGCCGCAGTCTCAGCCCCCACCTGGGTCAGGCTTGAGTGGCCTCTCCGTGAGGGCGCAGGGCCTGGGCCGCCTGGCTGGAGAAGCCAGCCTCGTGCTGTAGACAGAAAGCCTCTGACACTGCGCCAGCAGAAAACAATCAAGAAAACTGCCAAGGGAAGGCGTGTAAAAGTTTAGTATTTTGTTCAACAATTTAAAAAAGATATAACACCAGCATAAAATATTGCATAGCAAATAACAGATTATGTGTGTACAAAATCCAGTAAGAAAAACATGACTTTGTCACTTAGGATGATTCATAAAATATATTTTGAGCAACAGAGATAACGTGGGTCCCACGTGCGTGGATGGCAGCACCAGAGCCAGGGCCGCCGCCACAAATTCACGCTCACAGAACCCAGGACTGCTGCTGTCGGCAGCAGCGACGCTGGACGCAGGTGCTACAAAATGACCGGAGCTCGGTCTCTGCTTTCTCAGCCACGTGCACAGGTCAGCCGGGTGGGCCCTGAGGTCAGAGGCTGCGGAGAGGCAGGGAGGATGGCCTGCAGGGAAGCAGGGGCACAGACAAACCCCAGCCGGGCCTGCGGGAAGGACGCCGCCCTCAAGCCCTCACTGGTAGATGACCTTCACGCAAAACGCCTCTTCGTTTTTGTCCTCATGGTCGTTGATGTAGATCAGGATCTCCTCCTCCCCAGCTCTCCGACTAGGTGCAAACTGCATGCCGATGGTGTAGGTCTCTCCACCCCCAACCTGGAGGCAAGCATCCAAATCCCAGCATCCACCCCTGGGCCATCCTGCGCTCTCCCTGGAAGCCTCTCCGTTTAAGGTCGTGTATTTCCCAGGGGAGCCGACAAGGGCTCGGAGCCCTGCGCGTGCATCCAAGGCCTGCCTTTGACTTCAGCGCCCAGGACAAGGATAGAGACAGCCTAGGTGCTCAGCCAAGGTGACGTGTTGTGTGTAATGGAGACACACTCATTTTCGATCTAAACTGTCTAACATTACTGTGAAAAGCCCCAGGCACACCACCCTGCCCCATGCTCAGGAGAAACTTTGCCGAATCTCCAGCTACTAAAAAAACAACGGGCCACCCAAGTATGGGATGGCACATGTCACCGCCTTGGGGCTTTTGGAAGACTGCTGGTGATTCAAGGAACTCACTCCTGAATGCAGGCCCTCCATTCAGGTCCCTGGGCCTTCCCTAGGAGTCCCATGCACAGCCCACCGCACCTGGAAGGAGTCCTCCCTGAACCCCGGGCCTCCCTGGGAGTCCCACACACAGCCCACCGCACCTGGAAGGAGTCCTCCCTGAACCGCAGCAGCTCCGGGTGGTCACTGTGCAGGTGGAACGTCCTCTGGGAGGGGTAGGGGTTGGTGTAGGTGATCCTCTTGTTGACGCCCTTCCCTTCACCCGCAGCCAACGTGATCTCAAAGGCCTGTGGAGGGAGGGGACAGGGAGACGCTGCAGCCACTCGCAGATGCAGCCACTGGCCCCTCCTCCAAGTATCCCCTGAGGCTACTGTGTACCGTGCCCGGCCTCAGACATGGGGGACCCCACAGAGATAAGACAGATGCTCTCTGGAGCTTCCATCCGGGAGACAGATGGCACAGGAGTGAACATTTGTGCACCCAGCCCTGCCAGGTCAGACCCCTGGGTCCGGTGGCCGAGTCACAGGGCAAGGTAGGGGTCCTGCAGTGCCTTGATATCGAGCCCCTGTCCCCTAAGCCTGCGCCTGTCACACATACATACCTTAGAGATGAGCGGCTGGCGGCAGGAGAGGCACACGAGCCAGGAGGCCACCAGCTGATGGCAATCCACGTCTACCAGGTTGAGGTGGATGAAGCGGCTGCCAGCCCTGAGGGGCCTCACGCCAACATGCAGGTCCTGCACCCCCCGAGGAGGCAGCACAAAGACACCTTTGGGGTCCGTCTTTAAGGGCAAGAGACGCTGGTCAGGGCAGAGCCTTTCCCGGTGCGCAAGCAGAGGCTCCCAGATGCCTGCAGCCCTGGCAGCCAGGGGCGCCCAGGGTCACGGGTGGCTCAGGGGCGGCCAAATCTGAAGCCACAACCCAACCCTGCATCACTGTGGCCGTGGCTCGGGGCTGCACCGGGAAGTCCCTCCCCCCACATGGTGACTCAGCACTGCCTCCGCATAGGGAGAACCGAAGCCATCTTGGGCTTAAAACCTTGGCCAGCTGGTGGGACCTGGGGCCTGCCCACCCTGTCTAACTGTGGCTTCATTAACACCAGAGCTCCTGCCACTGTTTACCTTGCAGGAATTCTGAACACTAGCCTTTGGGAGTTGGCGCGTACATCACTCACCCCACAATGGCACATCTAACGAAAGGTGACTGCCAGGAAGCCTCTGGTGACAGCGTCTGGGTGCTGGTGGCACCGTAAACCTGCCGTCGGGACCACCCACTGTGCTGCAGCTGAATGCCCGTCGCCCATCTCCAGGCTGGGGTTGGGAAGAGGCTCAGAATAGCCCCCAAAGGGGCCGTACCTTCAGCTCCTGGGGGTGCGAGGTGAAAGCTCTCACTTTCCTCACTGTCTTCGTCCCCCGAAGGACAAGGGACAGGCGGGTCAGCTGGCCCGTGACGCAGGAGACATCCACACGCTGCAGGGAGTGGAGGTACACCTGCCACGTCTGTGCGGGCACCGCCAGCCAGCGATCCCTGCAGTGGGACAGGAGCTATCTGCACTTGTCCCCCAGGATGCAGCACCAACCCGTGAGAGGCTGACAAGGGCTGCCAGGAGCGCGGGCAGCAGGAAGGCCGTGCAGGGAACACCCCAGAGGACGGCCCCAGGGAGGCAGAGCTGGGGCCTGCTGGCTCTACCCCTGGCTGCCCACCTCCTACCTACAGCAGAGGCTCTCAGGGCACAGCAGGGCTAACTGATGCCCCCACTTGTCTGTACCCAGGATGCCACCTGGCACAAGAGTGCTTAGTGTCAAACAAATGACAAGTCATACTTTGGCCAAACACATATCCTGGACAAGTGGTCACCCCCAATAAGGGTTCTGAGGCAAAGCCAAGGGCAGTGCCACACAGGAGAGAGAGTGGGGCTGGAGGTCACGCCGGCCTGAGCACGGAGGCCCCTGTTAACATCTTAGAGCCACGAGTCTGGTGCTTCATAGTAAAATAGGGCTGGGTGAAGCATCTTCATGGGCTCATGAGAAAGCCACTCTGAGACGTGTCCACGCAGCCCCTCACCCTCTGGTGGGCACTTACTGCCGGTTCACCCCTGACCCCTCCTCAGAAGTACTGCAGGAAACCTCCCAGCTCACACCAGTTTTAAAGGATTCTCACAGGGCTTGGCAATCGGACTTAGGAAGGGAGAGGAAGGGGCCGGTCATTTAGCCTGGAGGAGAGAGGGCAGGTCATCCCACCACGGCCCTCCACCTCGCAGGAGGGGCCACAGCTTCATGCATGCTGTTCGGCCTGGGGACTCAGCAAGAAAAGTGACAAGGAGCTTCTGGGCGGCCTTTGGCGCTGTCTGGGGACAGAGACTGCCTCATGTCTTTCCCTGGTGGGCACAGGCTACATCCGAAGTCTCTCAGTTTGTGCGTGTCCCTCTGGCTCTGGAACGCACAGCAGAATCCTGCCTCACAAAGCAAAGGCCCAGTAGCTCCCCCAAGTTTAGGAAGGGGCCAAGCCCACTTTCAATCCAGCAGTGGCCCCAGGCCTTCCTCCTCATCTCCCCTGCCACAGTCCCCAGATCCCCGAAGCCTGTGCACTTACGAGTAAATGATGACAAAGAAGTCTTTGATCTCCGGGCTTGGACCACTAGCTACCTTCAGAAACACGTCCCGTGGCTCCCCGGGGCCCTGCCAACCGGACGTGCAGCACATCAGGGCACACAGCCCACCACCTGGCTCTGCTGACCCCAACCAGGCCCCTACATCTGCAACTAGTCCATGCAGCAAGTGAGGGCCAGCCCCTCCCAGAACGAATCTGTTCACGTTCTATACCAGTCTGAATTCACTATTCTGTTCACTGCCAACGAGAAAATCATGCGCTTCCTGATTCTACATGGATCTCAATAATTAGATTCCACAGGAGATTTTATCCAGTTTCCTAACTGGTCATAACACAATTATTGCCTTATCCTGTACACAATGGTAATTAATAAGTGCCTTAATTACCATTTACTTTATTCACTTTGCTTCATGCCTTTTTAAAATTTAAATTCAGATGATCAAGGAGCTGATCTACAAGTAGAAAAAATAAAAACCCTCTCATAAAACTCTCATAAAAATGTCAAAATAGCCCTTTCGTAGCTTGGGAAAGAAACCACTTAGCAGAAAACCTAAAATGAGGAGGCTCCCAGGGACCTGAAGGGAAGACAATGGGAGCAAGACCTCGCTGGGAAGGATCTGCCTGAGCCGGGGCCACGACACAACCTACCACGTGCTGGGTCTCACAGATGACGTTCGGGTCGCTGCAGCGAACGTGGACTGGAGGGTCCTCACCAGGCATCCCCACCTGAGCACCTGGAGTGGGGAAATGTCAGAAAGAGTCTTCTCCACAGCCCAGGCCTGTGGGGACAGCCCCACATATTACACACTACAGGACAGGCCGGGTTCATTACGGTGCTTAGCAAAACCCCTGCTGGGGAAATGGACACTGCCACCTTTCCCAGGACAGCATCCAAGCACTGTGTTCCCTGCATGGACACCACCCGTCCAGCACACCACGGCTCAGCTCCAGCCACCTCCTCAGAGAATCAAGGGGGTCATAAAAAGGAAGCCACAGCTCCCTGGAGCAGGGAAGCCTGCACTCGGCCGTAGGGCGCCTACCAGAAACATGCGGCCCATCAGGTGAGGAGGCGGGTGTTCCTCCAGGCACACCCGGACCTGCGGCCATCAGGTGAGGAGGAGGGTGTTCCTCCAGACACACCCGGACCTGCGGCCATCAGGTGAGGAGGCGGGTGTTCCTCCAGGCACACCCAGACCTGGGCTGCGGGAGCTGGGATTTTTAGAAGGGTGGGCTCAGCCAGCAAATTCGCACCTGGTCATCTCAGAGGTAGCAAGAGGGATACTATCTCAAACCATAAAGGCAGGAGGCAGAATTCCCCAGGCACCATGTGCTGCTCTAACAGCACCAGGGCACGAAGTCACGAGGTCATCTGTCACCCTCAGGAGACATCTACTTCACACAGGTGAGCCTGCAACATGTGGCCATGGGGTCAGTGCGGGACCTGCCTGGAAGCGTGTGCCAGGGTGGCAGGCGGATTGCCTTCTTCAGGAAGGTGAGCTCCGGGTGATAGAAGCGGAAGACCTGGTCCACCATGTGGGGCTGCAGTTCCACAGTCAGGCAGAGCACGGCGATGGGCTTGCTGTCACTTGCTCGGAACAAGACCTGTGAGGAGGCCACACTGAGCGCTGGGATGGGTACGAGGCTCATGGGCAGCTTCTCGTCCCTCCTTCGACAGTACAGGGATCTCCACTGTCGCCATGACCCACTCGCCCTCCGCTGCCATGAGGGGGGAAGGTCGGGCATCATGAGAGGCAGGGACTGAGTCTACAGCTGTGGGTGCCCACCCAGAGGGGACCACTGAGCAAGGCCTGGGCCGGCACCCAGCACAGGGCACCCGAGCGGCCACACTGCTGTTATTTCTCTCAAGTACGCACACTTCTGCCATGATTCCACCTCCCAACACCCTACGTGCATATGTGCAAGTCAGGCCAGGAGGTCCTGGGGTGGGTGGTGGCATGGTCAAGTTCACGGTCAAGCACGTCAGCACGAGCTCTTTGAGTCCAGATGACAAAAAGAGGCTGTGCCTAAACAAAAAGGGTTAGAAACAGAAACTTTCCTAGTTTCAAAAGAGTTACTTATTAAAAACCATACTGTCTAAAGAGGTATTAATTTGGACAACTGATACAAAACCTATGTTTATTTCAAGATATATACACGCCCACAGAGACATGCACATGCACACACAGACGTACCCACACACACATATGCACACAAACATACACACGCACACATGCATGCAGACACACATGCACACACACACATGCAGACACACTCCACATCTGCACACACCGAGGAGGAGAGAGGGGCAGGGGCAGGAAGGGAAACAAGATCCTTCCAAATAAATCTTGCGGACTTACTTAAATGTTTTTAATTTTAAAAACTAAACTAAAATATACGGAAGTGTCAATGTATTAAAAATAAACAGATCCAACCTTTTATCAAGTTGGTGCTGTAACTCCCCAAAGGAGAATTCTTTGAGTGAATTTACATCACAGGACACAAAGGACCTAAGGGCAAAAGCACCCTCAGAAACCCTGCTCTGTATAGAGAATACTCTACCCCTGGTTGGTACTGACATTTTGAAATATACACATACACAAAGATGGCCAGTGTGGTCAGTGGTATTGTAGCCAAAGGGATTTGGCCAGTGTGGTCAGCAGACTGGTTATATACAGGGGAATTAGACAAATAAGTAAATATAGTGAACCAAATGGGAACCAGGTTTCTCACAAGCAGAAATGGGAATTACAAACATGGAAACAGACAACAGGAAGAAACCTGTGATGCTAACTGGCACTAGAAGAACTGGCACGAATTCGTGGTCTTTAACACACACAGAAACAGTCTGTGCACATACACACACATACATGTGCACACATTGATATCTACATGTCATATATGCATGCTATGCACATAAGTCTATGTCTATGTCTGCATCTGTACGTGCAGGCACATACCTCTTAGGTCTCTCTGCTAAGAGGGACTAGTGGCAGTGACATCCCAGTAGTACTGAGAACATCTAGCACTCACATCTTCGTTTCTAAATATCATTCTCCACCCAAAGGAACCTTAGCTAAATGGCTGACATTCTGGAAATGCACGCTGAGCCTGGGGCATCTTGCTGTGCTGGCAATAAGGAAGGACTCGGAGGAGGACAGGGATGAATCAACAGGACACAGGAGCTGGCCTGAAGGGGCTTCCCCTCATTAGTTGGGGACAACATGAATATCAGCAACAAAATAAAGAATGATATCAACAAAATGAGTAAACAGAAATTCACTGTTCACAAGGATATAAAAAATAACTATGTGAATGAGGTAAAGGCCCAGCTCTACCTTACTTAAAATGCCGGTGATCAATAGAGAAGGAATGATGGAATGTGAAAACCCGTGGCAGGCAAGCATCCTGATACTGACTTGGGCCAGGCCACCAGTGCACAGTGAGACCTAGTGCGTAAAGTCTGATGAAGAACAGGTCATCTGAATGGCCTCAGTATCTCCCGATAAGATACTTACTCGTTACTAATTACAAAACCCAAAAACATTTCTTGATTATTACAGGAAAAAAGTACGGCAGATGCCATCTGAACTGAATGAAAAAGGCATCACCAGTAACAGGACAAAGCAACATTGCGTCCCCCCCAGTATGAAGTTCTGAGAGGACATAGCAAGTGTCTGCAGAGTCCCTGCCCCAAAGGCATAACCTGGGTCTAACTGAAGCGAACACCAGACCGGCCCCACTGGGTGCACTGCAGGAAAACCGTCTGCACACTTCCAAATGGCTGCAGCCACACCAGAAGGACTCCATGGACAGCGGGCTGGTCGGGGCCACTGGGTGGGCAGTCCGTCAAGTACTGGGACCTTTGTGAATGTGAATTGGGCCTGTGAGGACAGAAGAGGAGCGTCCATTCCGTAATTTCATGACTCTGACTTGGTCACCGAGGAGAATGGACTTATTTTCAAGACAACTCAGCTTGAAGTGTCATGGATTAAGGGCCATTACTTGATAATTTATTCTCAAGCTATTCAGAAAAAATGCATAAGCAGAGAATGGCAAGGCAAACATGGCAAAGGTTAGCGATCAGGAAGTCTGGGGAAACCATATGTGGGGATTCTCTGCACTTTTCCTGTAACTTCTCCCTAAGTTCAAAATTATTTAAAATAACTACTTTTGATGAAAAAAGCACAGGAGTTAACTTGAAAAGGATGGTGGTGGCCAGAGAGAGGGCAGTTCCAGCATCTAAGAGTGCCTGCCATGGGATGAGAAGTACAAATATAAAACCCAGCTGTCCCATCATGAGACGCCACAAACACGGACCGTCTCTGGAGGCTGCTAGGATGCAGCTCATTTATTTGAAAATGGATAAATAAAGGGAATGAGTCTAACATTCACCCTCACTTGCCAGTACAAAGGATGTTTCAGGTAACCAAACCGCTGATAGCAAAAGTTCTCATTTGTAGAAAACTCACTGGGAGAATGGCAGAGAGACTTTACAACAGTGGCATCAAGCTGTCAGCACCTGAGCACAGTGCCAGCCAGCATGCTCTACGGGTGGCCTTCATCAACGACGCAGTCTCCCCACTAAGCAACTCTAACAGCGGTGCACCCAAGGCAGTCCTGAACCAGACACACCAGCTGTAGAAAGACTCAGCCCTGGAGGCAGACAGTGCCAAGATCTGCGCTGATTGGGGGCAGGATGACAGCATGCAGTCGCAGTAAGAGGAAGAGTCCTTATCGGTCAGACACACCCTGAAGTCATTACGCGTAAACTAATACAACACCTAGATTTCCCCTAGAACTCCAAATTCATGTGAAGAGATCACATTTTTGACATAAAGATTATTTTAAGGTGAAAAGATCTGAAATCTTATCTGAATGTCCCTTATCTGACTAGCGCATAGCCTCCTGAAAATGCAGCTGCCATTAACCCCCCATTTCAAAGTGAAATCCTCCTGCAAATTCCAGGAAGGTCACAGACTGCCCATGCCCATGGCAAAAAGAGACAACAGAACGTCCCTGCCTTCCCACGGAGGCCCTGGCCCTCGCCTGCTTTGTGCTACGTTGGCAGAGAGACCTCAACCTCTGGGCATTCGGCAAGCTACTAGCTTCCCAATGCTACCACAGGCTCATGACGGTGAGGACCGTCTCTCCTCCTGTTCCTCTGTCTGAGGTCATGCACCTGCAGGCTTGCCATTCAGACCTAACCTGGCAGAGGACGACTTTCCTCCCAATGGTTTTGGCAACAGGATGTGATGGCTGGGACTTCCCACACGTGTAAGGAAAAAGCATTAGCCTCAGATGTAACCTAGAGCACTAAATACAGAACAGACGTATTCCTTAGACCAAGGCAAAGCTACCTACAGCACTAAACACAGAACAGATGTACTCCTTAGACCAAGGCAAAGCTGTGGCTGCAGATTTAAATAAAATAAAGCAAGTTTCCACTGATGACAGAGCTGGTGGACACAGGGGGCCAGGCTGCAACCAGTGAGACTCAGGCCACAGGGACTCCACAGCAGGGACCCCACAGCCTCAGGCTGGGATTGCTCAACTCTGAACTCTGTTCTCCAGGCAGGGTGCGGGAAAGACCAAGCCTTTTTTATTTTGTTTTCCACTTCCCAACTACTACAAATGGCATGTTTCTACCAAATAAAAAAAACCCTTCAGAAACTGCCATAACGCAGCAGTGTCTCTCAAGCTCCTCCTGAGAATGTCTCAGCCGGCTGAAGGCTTACAACACGGCCTTCCCTTAGCAAGGGAGGCAACCAAAGGCTAAGTCTTATTTCCAGGAAGAAGCACACCACACATGCACATCCAGCGAATGCTGTGTGTGAGGCTCACGGAGCGGCCGCAGGCTGTGGCAGCCACCACGGGAACCACGGGCCCCAGGCTCTAAGAAGGCAGCCGCCAAGGAGGCATTTCCTGCCAGACACCAGGCAGGCTGTCCCAGCGCCCGAACGAAGCTGCCCTGCCCAGCGAGGACACGGAGAAGGCCATTCTGAGGCCCACCCCACCCCTGCCCTGCCCTGCCCTGGCCCCAGCCCTTCCTTCCAAGAGGGGAGAAAAGGGCGCAAGGGTCAGACCACCAAGGCCCTGGGAATATCCGGGGAGCCCCGAGGTCAGTTTATCCTCTGTTACCCCTTTACCTTGGCGTGTTTAGTGGGCACTGTGCTGGACTTCCAAGGTGACGTGGCATCTATGTCCTTCTCGTTGCTCAACCCAGGAGATGCCTGTGGGAACCGGTCAGCAGGAAAAGGTCAGGAAGCAACATCACTGGGGGACCAGCACCTGTGCTTAGAGACACCACTGCCGCCCAGCTGGGAGCCACAAGCCTCCTCTCACGCTGACCCTCTGGGCAGTAACCACCACCAACCGGCCTCACTGCACCAGAGAAGGCTGAGGCTGCCATGAGCAAGCGGAACAGCAGATCTCAGGTGGAAACCTGGCTCTGCCTGAGCCAAAGGCCTGAGGTCCCACCTGCTGTCCTCACAGCCCATCCCAAGAGCCAGCATGGAACCCTGGGAGTGAGCCTCTAGGGACATCTCCAGTCCACCTTAAGCGAGGACCATCACACTAGAGAGCTGACCCCAAAAGGTCAAAAGCTGAAACACACACTCCATGCCCCATGCCTGCCTCACACATGCGGGCATGACACACCCCTGCAGGCACCTCACACACCACCCTCTGCACACACACCTCACACACTGCATGCACACACACCCCTGCACATACACCTCACACAGACCCCTACATGCACAACTCCTGCACACACACCTCACACACACTCCAGCCTCCCAAACGCACACCTCACACACCCACCCCCTGCATGCAAACTTCACAGACACACACCACCTGCATGCACACCTCACACCCATCTCCTGCACACACACCTCACACACCCATCTCCTGCACACACACCTCACACATCCATCTCTTGCACACACACCTCACACACACCTCCTGCACGCACACCTAACACCCACATCCTGCAAGCACACCTCACACACCCACCTCCTGCATGCACACCACACGCACCTCCTACATGCACACCTGACACACACCTCCTGAGTGCACACCTCACACCCCCACATCCTGCACACACACCTCACACAGCCACCACCTGCACACACACCACACCCACCTCCTGCATGCACACCTCACACACCCACATCCTGCACACACACCTCACACATACCCACCTCCTGCACAAATACCTCACACACCCACCTCCTGCATGCACACCACACGCACCTCCTGCACGAACACCTCACACACACCTCCTGCACGCACACCTCACACACCCACCTCCTGCACGCACACCTCACAACCTCCTGCACGCACACCTCACACACACCTCCAGCATGCACACCTCACACACCCACCTCCTGCACACATCTCACACCCACCTTCTGCACACACACCTCACACACACCTCCTGCACGCACACCTCACACCCACCTCCTGCACGCACACCTCACACACCCACCTGCATGTACACCTCAAACCCACCTCCTGCACGCACACCTCACACACCCACCGGCACGCACACCTCACATACCTACCTCACACCCCTCCTGCGCACACACCTCCTGCATGCACACCTCACACCCACCTCCTGCACACACACCTCACACACCCACCTCCTGCACGCGCACCTTACACACCCACCTCCTGCACGCGCACCTTACACACCCACCTCCTGCACGCGCACCTTACACACCCACCTCCTGCACACAGACCTCACACACCCACCTCCTGCATGCAGACCTCACACACCCACCTCCTGCATACACACCTCATATCTTCCCTGCACACACACCTCACCTACTGCCTGCACACACACCCCCGTGTGCATGCTCCCCACACACACGCCTGCAAGGCTGCATCTTGCATAGAGCAGCCAGTGCTGCAGTCAGAAGGGAGCAAACAATATTACCTGGAGAGAAAATGCTAGAAAATGTCAATCCATTAGATTCACTGGGCTTTAAAAAAACCCTTCTGACCCACTTAGTAAAGAAAATGAGGAGCGGTCCGGCCTGACACCCATCAGGCTGGAAAAGAGAAGGGGCCAGCTGCCACTCACAGTACAGGTGCCAGGTCTCTTGTTGAGTACCAAGGGGAGCAGACAGCAGCCCAAAGGCTGGCCCATCTGCCACAGGCAGGGGAGGGACACTGATGGAAACTGGAAGCATTCTCAATTTCTCACGGTCGTCAGCCAAATGCAACTTCCCTGTGCACCTGATTCCCGCACCTGCGTCGCAGCCAGCAGCCCCGCAGAGAAGCTCTGGAACTTGAAGGGGACGTGGGCGGTCTCGTGTGGGCGCAGGTAGAGCTGGGGGGCCAGGCTGCCGCGCAGGTGGAACATGTCCTCCTCCACCGGCGTGTGCAGGCCAGCAGCACCCTTCAAGTCTCTCCACTCCTGACTGTCCACGATGACGCTGGGGGAGGCAGTGTCCATAAATCAGGGCAGTTCTTCCCAGGAAGGCCCACCGGAGGGTACATCCCACCCACTGAGAGCGGAGCTCAGAGGAGTGGGAGAGAGGAATCAAATCGCCTCGGCTCGCGGGCAGAATTCATGCCAGCTCAGAAGGGACGCCAGCTGCACCCAACACAGATCTGGGCTGTGAGGGATGGGGGCGCTGCCGGGGCCTCACCTGAGCTCAGGGCTGTCTATCTGGAGGGGGATGAGGGCGCTGCTGGGCCCTCACCTGAGCTCAGCTGTCGATCAGGGCAGGGGGACAGGGGCGCTGCCAGGGTCTCATCTGAGCTCTGGGCTGTCGATCTGTGGGGAATGGGGGCGCTGCCGGGGCCTCACCTGAGCTTGGGGCTGTCGATCTGGGAGGGGCGGGGGCGCTGCTGGGGCCTCACCTGAGCTCGGGGTTGTCGATCTCCACGGTCACTGTGTGCTGTGTGTTGTGGGGGTTCTTAAGCACAAACTCGAAGAACTCGGCCACCCCCAGCGTGGCATGAAGTGTGTGCTCCGTGGTGATGGACAGGCTCAGCAGACTGGCAATGCTCTCAGCCTTTGTGCGTTCCCGGTAAGCAGCAATTACCTGTAGGTCCCGCAAGTGCTGTGTGCGGACACTCTGCTGGGCCTGGGGACAAGAGGACATGGCAGACAGTGTCCCAGCCACGCTCTCCTCCATGAGGGGCTATTGCTGGCCGCCCACCACCCACGACGCCAGAACAGGACATTTCTGCAAGAGCATCGCCACCACCATCCCCATCCTTGACCACGTGGTCTTGTGTGGAACTGGCCGGCCCCACCCAGGCATGGATCTCAGGCAGTGCTGGACAGAGATCGGCTATGTCCCCGACACGGAGGCTCACACAACACCCCTGCCTGCTCCCGAAAGTCTTCACAGCCACAAGCCTGGCCCCCGGCGCAGTGCAGAATCAGAAGCAGTGGTTTCAAACAAGGGAAAAGAATGGCTTCAAAACTATGACTGGTGACAGGCCTCACCAGCCAGGTCCCCAACACAACATCGGGAGCACTGTGTGGGCGCAGAGCCCCCAGGAGAGGACATGCCCCCCAGCCTGCTGGGTCCTGGTCACACTGGGTCAGAGTCAGGGCAACCAGCAAGCTGCCTCAGCACGGCTCAGCCACCCCCTTGCTCTGATGGCCCAGGGACTCTAAGAGCTTGGCCAGTACGCATAGGCTCTACAGGCTGGAGACTGGCTTGTTTTTCTTGCGGGCCTTACAAGAAAAAGTGAGGCCCACTGGAGGCTGCCTTGCAAGATCTGAGGCCTAGAAGGGGACACCCCAATGCCGGGGAGTTGGCCAGGCTTCAGTAGCTCCAAGAAGCCACTGCAGCTGGGCACTGGGAACCTTCTGTCTAATACAGAAGAGACGGGCTGACTTGAACGCTTTCAGGCTTTAACTCGAAAAGTGAAGACAAAATTTGATTTCTGACTTAAATGACTTTGGATATTCACTTTCTATCATCCAAGGCTTTGGCTATTCTTTGCAGGGGGATTAGAGCTGGACCTTTCACACCTGGGGCCTCCATCAGAATTTTATCATCAGAGCTTTTCAGGAGGGGAACGCCTGACAGCCTGTGCTGGACAACGGGGCCAGACTTGAGTTAGGATGAGAAACAGCGCTGGGGCTGAAAGCGGCTCCTCAATTTCAAGCTCATGCAGACACAGCCAAAGTCATCCAGGCTGGTGGTCTCCGGAGGCCACAGCTTTAAGCCCTGCCTGTTGGGAGGAAGGGAGGGAGGGCAAGAGGAAGGGAGGGAAGGACACCTCTGTTGAGACCCCGGCCTGCCTGCATGGGAGGGGAATCTCAGGAGATCTTTCTCGAGGCCCTGTGGTTCCCATCTTCTCCAAGCCCAGGAGGTACAACCATTCTCACCTCCCATTTCTTAGTTGCAAAGTATTAAAAGTTTTATTTAGATTTTCAGCCAAAAAGGGGAATTTTTCTAGCCGGAATGATTACACTGATAACCCAAGATTCGTCAGCTGCTCACAGCTCTGGTCCCCAGACCCCAGGCAGCCTCAGAATCACCTGCAAAGCTTTCTTCAAACCCAGGCTCCGGGGATCCTGCCCAAACCAATCGGTATTAGAATCTCCAGGGGTGACGCCCAAGAACTGGCTTTTGTTAAAAGCTCTCCAGATAATTCTCACTTAAAGATTTCCCCTGGTGGCTGAAAAAGTCTGATGTTCTTATTATTCTGTCACTAGGACTTGGGAGGAAGTTAAGAGAGCAGCCATGTGGGAGGCAGGGAGAGACGTGCACAGTGACTCGGTCTGCAGGGAGAACCCCGGGGACAGTGACAGTGGAGAAACTCTCACCAGCACGCTGGTCCCGCGCCGGCCCAACGCTCCCCCGGCCTCCTTCAGGCGCACAGACCTCATCCGCTCCAGCTTGCGCCTGCGGGTGGCATCCACCTCACGGCCGATGTCCTGGGGCCCCTTGCCCCCCTGGGCATGGGTCAGCAGCATGGCAGCCAGCTCACTGTCCATATCCGCCAGCTTCTGCGCTTGCACCACGCGCTTTCCTGCGAAAGGGTCAGAGCGGGAGTCGGGTGGACGTGCAGTGTCTACCTTCCAGCAGCAGACACGGAAACAGGCTTCCCAGAACCACCTACCCAGGGAGGGAGCTCAAGAGCACAGCTCATGCTTTTGCAGTTCTGAGACTCGGAAAAAGAAGGTAACTTTATACCCTGGTTTTCACAGCATCTCCTCCTTTCCCCAGCCTCCAAATTAAAAGGAATTCTGACTTTGGTCCTTAGATCCAAAGCAATCAACAAACCACCAGGGGATTTTCTAGGGGAAGAAGGCCATGTTCTAGAAGGTCACGCTCTCAGGATATTCAAGGGCCCACTAATGCCTTCACCCAGTGCTCTCAGCCTCAGCCCCTCAGATCAACAATGGAGGGTAATGGGTTGCCCCTTTGGCAGGAGGCCTCCAGCTAGTAGGGGGTGGGGGATGAAGCTCAGAGCAGGCCTGGCCCTCAAGCTCCTGCTCCCAACTCTGACCCCCAGGGCAGCCCACCTCCTTTGGGATGGCCCTACTCACGCCGGGACACACAAATGAGAGTCAGTGAGCAAATCAACAGAAGCTGAACAGGGTCAAGCAGTGGCAAGTAGAGGCATGGCCACTGCTGCATAGGCCAGGCCCTTCCTTCCAACAGAGCAGAAGCTTAGGGTGTCAGGTGGGACTGGGCTGAGTGACAAGGCCACGCCACAGGCTGACACACGAGACTCCCAGACAATCGCTCAGCCCAGCACAGACCGGGCAGCGGAGGGGCGCCCCAGCTTAGGGCCTGGGTCCTTCCTCACCCCCTGGCACCAGCAGAAACTTCCCACAGAAAGCCAACACCAGCCCGAGCTCTCCCAGCCTGGTTCCACTTCCACGGGTGTTGGCAGCCCCTTGTAGAAGCCTTCACACAGTGGGAAGTGATGTGGCCCCCGACTCCTTCTCACAAGGAAACAGATGCCACCATCAAGGCCCCCCACCATTCAATTTTAAAGGCGGAGAACTGCTTCGCAGAGGCGAGCGGCTCTTCCAAGTCTCAGGCACAGGCTTGGTCTGCGCTACCTGCAGCCACGAGGTGAGAGGAGGGACCTAGGACCTGGGCAGGCGAGGGTTTATCGTGAGCTCAAGTTTTCAGATTGCATCACCCCAACAAATACTTCATGGTCCCAATGAAGCCAGAAATGAAGTTACGGAGTGACTGGGTAAGACTGCACTTGGAGCAAGGCACGAAGCACTGAGAACCTTTTTAAAATGTTGCGCAACTTGCTGATTCCGGAGCCCTGCCCCATGGGCGAGACGTATGTTTTAAGAGACACCTCCTGTCCTGCTTCTGAGCAAAACAGGGTCTGGAGGATCGCTGACCCCAGGGCCTCTGATCTCTCAGCAAGTCCTTCTGGGTTCCTGCTCCCTGACAGCTGAGCCCCTGACCTGCTGCACCAGGAGGCAGGGTTCATGAATAACCTCAGCTGAGCTCCTGGAGCTCAGGGACTTCTCTCTATGGAGCTGGCTCTCCCTCATACTCTAGGTGGGTCTGCGGGACCAGCTGAGGATGAAGGGCACTGACCCCAGGGCAGGAAATCCAGATTCTAAGCCATGTTCACCCCTTAGCTCCCACACTGGCCAAGTTGCCTGATCTCTCTTCATCTCAGTTTCCTCAACATTACAATGAGGAAGCTGGCCCAGAACAGACTCCATTTGGCCTGGATCATGAATCCCTCTGAGCCCCTCAGGCCCCTCCCAGGGAGAACGTACAAAGTTTACCCACCATGTCAGGGGCCTTGTGGGATCCTGGAAGTCTTGCAGAACGGAACCCAAAGGCCCCTCCCACCTCTAACCAGCCACAGCTCCAAGACCCAGCAACACACAAAGCTCCCTGCAGCTCTGAATTCAGACAAGCTGATCTGCAGCCTCCGGGGAGCATGCTCCTTAAAGAGCACTTCCCACGTGTGGTTGAAATGACAAGTACTTTCTATGCAGCTCTGTGAGGCCTGACATTTTAAGGGGACAGAAAAACTTCAGAGCTTCCCTGCTGTGAAACACATTTTCACCAAACCCAGGTCTTTCCCTCTCAAAACCAGGTCTTTCTTTCCCACACTCCATATCTGGCTTATTTCTTCTGTTCACAACATGGGGACTTGTTTTAAGAACTTGTTTTAAAAATCTCTCTATGTTCATCCTGACCTTCTCTCCATTTCTCCTTCCATTGCAGATGGGCAGCCAGCTGGACACAGACACCACTGGCAGGGTTCCCACTTCTCTGAACAGCACAGTTGCCTGCAGAACCCAGCCTAGAGTGCCAGGGTGTGATCAATGTGGTGGCTCGGTGGGGCCTGCAGGTCCACAGGAGCATCCAGCCAGGGCACTGCGCCACACGTGGACAGCACAGTCCCGCCCCAGACGCAGAGGGGCACTGACAGCACCACCACACACACGTGCACGTGCACACACACGCAGCCTTCCACCTCTCACACGCCACTCACGACCCACCCACACATGTGCCCAACAGTGTCGACTCACGCCTTGAGCTTCCACTCGTGAGGAGGCTGCCTCCAGGGAAGCGGCTGGCTCCATCGTTTGAGATGACCCGAGACCTGGACGGTGGCAGCGTGCCAGCATCTCTCGCTTTCTGTTCACACAGGTGACCTAAACGAAAAACACCCAACGTAAGACACTAACCCCAAACAAGAATCTGATGAAACAGATACCCTACCACATAAGCGGTTCTGGCTTTCAAACGGCCCATCTACACCCTGACATGCTAAGTTCCCACCACCTGTTTTGAATGCTTTGCAATTGACAGACAAAGGTGGGAGCTGGTTCTGCTGTGAACTTTCATCTCTAGGTCTTCTTTCTCCTACCGTGTCAGAGGCAGCCTCCGTTTCCTGGTGACAAATGAAATTGTGTGGTGCTCACAGTTTGCCTGCACAAGGATTCTTACTTCTGGATCTCTGGGTCACAAGGGGGGCTGCCTCACAAACTCTAACCTTGGCCTCTTGACAGCCGCATTCTTCGAGGAGAAGCCTGTGTGTATTTACACGTGCGAACATCTGACTCCACACACACCCCGGAGTGTGAGAGCCCCCCACAAACCGGAGCCTTCACCAGAGTTGTGTTCATAACAGAAGCCTTTGGAGAGCCAGCGGTGTGGCCTCAGGACAAGCGTGTCCACAGAAGACACGTGGCCAGTGGGTGTGGCGCCCCTCGAACCTGCAAATGTGAGTATCCTGGAGGAAGCCGAGCTTGCCCAAGGAAGGCTCTTCTGCGAGGATGGGACCCACAACCTTCGTGTGGCTTTACCTCCCCAAGGGGTGAGGCAGAGCACTGCCAACAAAGCTGTGTCCCAAAGTGAACCACCCAAGGCATGTGCAAAATGCTTGCGCCATCAATTTCCTTAATTCCAATGAGGCAGTGTTGCATGCCCTCAGGTCTCGGATGTTCTCATCATCTTCCGGGGAACTGTTAAAAGTGGGAACCAGCTGGGTGCGGTGGCTCACAGGCATCAGCACAAAGGATGGGAAGGCTGGCTGCCTCCTCCCACGCCCCAGTTGGCAACCAGAAAGGCCAGTGGCACATGTACCTAGCCATCTCTTTTCAGGGGAATTTCATTCTTGCCAATGTCCCAGTAGCTGTCACCCGCCTCTCACCTCCTGTTCTTTTTCCTTGAACTCCACGTCAGCACCATGCTCTGCAGCAGGACAGCGATGCTGACCTCCCTGTCACCCCAGGTCCAAGCTATACCCCCATAAGGATGCAGCCTCCGCTTCCCCAACATCCCCTGCGCCGGCCTTCTGCCTTCGGGCTACCAACCGCCTCCCAGCTCCCACAGCGTCCGCTCCGTCCTTACTCCGAGCAGGCTTCCTGAGAGTGGGCACCTAGAACGAGGGCTGTTTCAGTCTTCTCCCTGTTGCTCTGGGACCCTCCCTCCTGCGCTGGCCCTCCAGGGCCATCTCTGCTCCCGCACGCTTCGCAGGGGTCTCCAGCTTCCCTTCAAGTTAAAGCCCACCCCCCACACCCCCAGCAGAGGCTCTGCCTCTGCCGGAACACACTACTCTCCAGGAGTGCCAGGAATCCGTTTTTGCCTCTGACAGTTCATGGTCACAGGATCAAGATCCTCGTCCCTAAGAAAGGAGTCCAGATCAGCGCTCCTTCGTACAAACAGATGTTCCCCTGCCATGGCTGTGTCTTCTGAAGCCCAAGGAGAGCAGGGCTCCAGGGTGAGAAGCTTTCATCAATCTTACGATGCTTCCATCCATCTCTCCACCATGGTGCCAGGTACAAGGGAGAACCCCACCACAAAGAAGGCATGGTCAGGGTCCTCAGGACTTTCCAGATTTGTGTGGGAAAACGGCAGACAAGCAAGCAGGCCAGGGCAGGGAAGGGATGGCAGCCTAAACCGGCCCAGCCCACCCATACCAGGGCCAGAGCTGCAGGCACTGGCACTGATGCTCACGCTTCGGCCACGCTGCCCTCCACATGAGAAGGAGAAAGTGCCACCGGCCCCAAAGCCTCAGTTTCCCACCCACAAGCTGAGTCATCCCGGCTTCTTGCCGTGTTTCTTCCCACAGGAATTCTTGGCAGGGGCAGCAGCTCATGGGCTGGCGGTCCTGGCAAGCTCTCTGTCACGTCCCGAGAACCTGCTCCAAGAAAGAGGGGCCTCCCAGGCGCCCAGCACCTCCATTCACTGTGGGCGGCAGTGGGCTCATCCCACACCTGGGGGCAGCCCAGAATGTTCCACAGCTTTCTCGACCACCTTCATCGGATAGCAAGTGGTTCTCTAAATCGCAGGCGAGAAGGCCCCTAGTCCACCCATATCTGATCGAAGTGAGCACCGGCCTATTTTAAGCCTGTACTATGCACCACCCCAAGAAGTACTAAGAGATCAAGGAAAGCGTTGCAAGGTCAAGCCAGATCCAGATGGCTCCAGGGGCAGGTGACCAGCATTCTTGGAGCTCAGGCGTGCAGGACACCTAATGATGACAATGGCTGCAGCGGGTGAGACCAGCAGGACCCCATGGGACACCGTATGGACACGGAATACTGCTGGGCTTCATGACTGTTTCCTCCTACTATATTTATACTTAGCACACATGGGCAAATAAACGGGGTAAACTCAATTTACACTTCCGTGCTCACTCAAGAAGGGGCCGAGCGGCAGACACAGCATTTCATCGGGGCACAACCTGGATCTTCAGTTAGTGCAGGCTTTCTTCCCCTTCCACGAAACAGGTTACACCTCAGCCCACACATCTGCTGCAGGGGCAGGAATTCCCTCCAAACACACAGGGCTCCTGATGCAGCCCTGCAGCTGCAACAAAGTCGCCACCACCACACATGGGACCCCACAGCCGGGCCATCTGTCAGAGCCCATCACATCCAGTCTCCTTGAACACCCCGTGAGAACACAGACATTTGGCCTGTGGGGCCATCTGCCCTGACACCTGCCTCCCCCAGGAAGGGCCACAGAATACAAGCGACACCTGAGCTCCCAGCCGAACCCTGTCCTACTCCATACCCAAGATCACTGGGATCAAAGAAAGCAGTCTGGTGCTTGCAGTCCCTGGATGACAAAAGCTGACCAAAAGTGCAAAAGAGGCCACCAGGGAAGGCAGCAGGCCTGCATGGAGCGGTCACCAAGCACAAGGGCCATCCTCTCCCCATCATCAGAGTGCCAGGGCCCTGGGCCCAGCTGGCAGACTGTCCCCAGCCTGTCCCCAGCCATGGCACAGGCTTCCTCGAGTGGCCTCAGGCAGGAACATGCACTGTGAATGCAGCCAGCCCAGAGCAGAACCCAGGCCAAGGCCAAGGCTCTGTCCTGCTCGGTCACCCTGCAGGCCGGCACCCACGCTGCCAGCACCCACGCTGCTGGCAGACAGAAGCCTGCTGCACCACAAATGAGCCAGTTTTATGAAGAAAGAAAAGCCATAACACCTTCTTTTCCAAAAAATGCAGAACTGACGGAGGAGAGCCAGGCTGGCTGCACTGATGTGCAGAGGGCTGCGGGTGGCATTTGTCCTTTGTTAAAACCTCTCCCTCTCCATCGGCGCTGGAGTCGCCCAAGCTGGCTATCTCAGCCTCCCTTTCCCATGAGCTTATCTCCCTCTTGCAGGCAAAGTACGAAAATGACAATTTGAGATAACATATAATGGAGCCAATCTTTCTTCTGAAGATAAGATTTTAAAACTTGGAGTCACTGCACATTTGTGGGCTGGAGAATTAAATATAAAAACAAGCAATGCAGTCTCGGAGCAGAATGCTCCCTGCAACTCCCTCAGCTGCATGAGCCTTTGAATAATGCCTGCTTCTCACATGTGGCTCATTTATTTCTCCAGAACCTAACTGAGTTTTGCTGTGTCCATATTGTCTCTTTTGCAGGCCGCCTCGGATCTACATTTGTAAACAGGCAGGCAGAGCCTCCAACTGACTAACGAGCTGTGCACTTGCGCCCCTCCCCCAGGCCCCCCCCAGCCTCTGCACTGCCAGCACCAGGTGGATGTGGCCTGTGGGGCTCTGGGGCTTACAATCAGGTTGGGTTCTGAGAAGTGGAAAATTCCCTAATAAAATAGCAGAGAAGTCTGGGTCTCACGCAGACAGACACAGCTCCAGAAACATCACACGGCTTTGTTTTGTGGTGCTTTCAGTGCTGCCCTGAAAAATCCCAAATGTTCCAGAGGACCCTCGGGAGGTTCAGTGAGCTTGTCACTGCCCTGTAGCGTCCCACGCAGGTCCTCTGCCCTGAGGCGTGCACAGGCAGGCACCATCAGCCTTGTGTCCCTTGATGTCCCATCAGCAGCCCCTGTCCCAGCAGAGGCCTCAGTCGAAGCCCCTGGAACGTCCCAGGCGGGACCCTCCTTAGCCGCCCAACCCTCATGTCCCCTCCGCCACAGTCCTGGACGTGGAGTGAAGTCCAGGGCTTTCTTAGTCTCTCTAACAAGCAATTCCAGGGCACCATTTGCTACCGAGTCATGGCGCTGGGCCGAGAAGAAGTGCATCTCTCCATTCTCCTCCTCCCAGGCTGCAGGGAAGTTAGGAACACTCCCCTTGTCTGTCCTCCATGAGGCACAGGGAGGTCTCTCCTGGAACCCAGTGACTGTATCTGAGGACTGCCCAGAGATCTTCCAGGGACAGCACCACACGAAGCAATGCAGGAGAGCCTGAGAGGACTGACGGCCTTTAATCCCGTGAGAAATGCAGAATGCAAACAACTGGCTCCAGGACAGACTCAGCAGCCGAGGACACAGGCTCCATGGCCAGGCTGCTAAGAATTCTGCCGGTTTCCTCTGGGCCTATGACACCCATGACGTGGCCCTTGCCTGAGGGAGCCCACACTACCAGAGAAACAACACAACGCTGGGCAAAGCTGGCGGGGACTCTTACCCACATTGGCCAAGGTCAGGTACAGCCGGCCCTTCACCACCGAGTGGACGCCGATGGGCTTGACGCGGCCAAACCCCAGCACGTCTCCACTCACCACCATGGTGTCCTGCTCGTATTCAGTCGCCACGACCTCAAGTTCGTGGGAGGCCTGCACCGCCGGCCGGCCTTGGCGGAGGAGATGCTGCGGGGGAGAAAGGGGTGCTCGGAGGCTGGAGCCAGCCCAGGCTGCTTCCATGACCCCTGCAGGTGGAGGCTGCTCCCCAGCCCTCCGGGAAAGCCACTGTGGGCGGGAGGCAGTGGGCAAAGCAGGACAGACCTGCATCCCGTGGGGGGCAGTGGGGGCAGCGAGCCAGGGGCCTGTGTCTCAAAGCAGGAGTCCTCATTACTGGGGTCTTTTTCATAGTCTTACATAAAGTACAAAGGATTGACCCACTGAATAAACACCACTGAGCTCTGGGAACGCATAAGTGGTTCTGGCATTTGCCCTGAACGAGCCTCTCCTCCACAGGGAAGAAGACCAGGAAGGAGGCCAACCAAGCAACGCAGAGGACTCCAAGCTGAGCCATGTCTGGGACAGCGAGGAATCCAGGATGGAAACCTGAAGGAGACTCCAGGAGGAAGACGGGCCATGCACAGAAAGGGCAGGGGAGGCAGGGAGGGCCGGGGAGGCAGGGAGGGCCGGGGAGGCAGAGAGGGCCGGGAGGCAGAGAAGGCTGGGAGGCAGACCGGGCCAAGGGCACAGGGTACAATGCCCCCCTCGCCCCCTTGGGTCAGGGAGCACGCTGGGGTAGAGGCCTGTGGGGCCCAGGGAAGGGCCATGGGGCATGAGGGGCTGGTGGATGAGGCCCAGGGTGAGGATCTATATGCCAGGCCAAGGCTGCTCGGGGCATGGGGAGAGCCAGAAGCCTCAGACCCAGCAGGGCCTCAGCAGGACTTTCCTGACCACAGGCTCTTCTGCTGATCAGATTCAACCCCTCAATCCCCTGCCTGAACCCCAACGCTGTGAGGGGTGTGGGGGACAACAACAGCCTCCCGGTTGTGCCCCAGGCCTGGCTGGCACTCTTCCCCATGTGCCCTCCCTGCACTGGCGTTCCCTCTCACATAAGCAGCAGTGTGGTAGCAGATGAGGTTTCAGATTTTGCAATTCTCCAACTTCTACAGCAGCAAAATTGCCGGTCTCTGGGAGTGAGACGCCCAGGCCTGACCCTCCCCTTGTGGGTCTGGGGACTTTGGTCGCCGCAGACCCTGCTCGCTCTGCCACATTCGTCTACACTGCATATAATCACTGCATAAACATTGATGGTTCAAGAACCTCAGTCACTGGGAGACTGAGATGTGAGAAGATGCCTTTGGAGAACGGCCAACAAATACAAGGAGCCACGTCAGCCGCTCCAGGAGGCGAGGAAATGCCAGTGAAAACAAGGCACCATCTTCCCAAATCATTACCAAAACGGCCAATGTCCACTGGTTTAGAGGCTGATGCCCCATGAAGCCAAGGGCATGGGATGCTGTGCCTTCTGTCTGCAGGAAGTGCAGGCCTGACTGAGCTTTTGGGCCAAGCCCCCACCTGGCTCTGCATGCCTGTGGGGTCGTTGGCGTCATCAGAATTCTTCTTCCGGGAACATGACATTTGCAGAGAAGAGGATGGTAAAGAGCACAAGCTCTGGAGACAGAATTAGGCTAAAACTCTGCCCTGCTTATCATCAGTGTGACCCTGGGCCTCTGTTTTCTCCATCAGAAAAGAGGATAAAAACACAACCGCCCCAGGGCTGGGCTGAGGGTCACACTGCAGGCAGCTTAGGAGCCATCCATCCCTGGAGGAAACTTATCACCGAAGCGACATGTTCTGGCCAGCACCCCAGGAAATCAGCTGGAAGATGGTGGTAAGACTGAACTTCAAGAGGTCCACAGCAGTGACTGGCAGAAGGAAAAGCCACCATAACGTCCCACAACAGGAAGAGCGGAAACAAGAGGAAAGCTGGCCCCGCGTGCAAAAGCTGAGCCCACCGTGGGATGGCTAGCTAGGGCATGCTAACTCTCCCAGGATCTCAAGGCAAGAGGGTTCTCTCTAATTATGTCAGTTTTTCATGTTTTCCATCTAAGTTTTAAAGTTAAAAGACTTTATTTTAGAAAAGTAAAGTTTTAAATTTAATTTATTCAAGTCTATGTCAACAAGTTAACACCACTTGTGTAACGGGCTCTCCGTGTAGGAGCAGATGAGATGGCTTCCATCTCCAGGTGGGACAGCAAAGAAGAGGCACAGGCTTGGCTGGGCATGTTGGGCGAGCCACTGCTGCCACACACGTGTCCAGCGGGGCCCAGCTCTGCCTCCCACTCTTCTCCAGCATGCAGCGCCTGCTGGGGCTGAGGCCTGTGTTAGAAGAGAGACGCTGTGGTGTCAATACCCTGTCCCTGCCCTGGAGACATCAAGGCCAGGGTGGGAGGCAGACAAGCAATGGCCACAATGACGCCGTGGGGCCCATGCCATGACCCTGATGGGAACAGAGGCCCAGGGTGAGGCATGAGAAGAGCAGTCAGGCCTCGCGGCGTCCCTAGCGCCTGCAGACCACACCCTGAACTTCTGTGCACCGCCCACCACCCGGGGAGCCGCGAGCAGACCATGCCCCAGAGGAAGAACAGCTGGAAGAAACCCCACACCTCCACACCCAGCACCCCAAGAACACAGCGAGGCTGAAGGAGCAGAGGAGCCGAGCTCAGGAGTGAGCAGCTGCTGGAGGGGATGAGGCTAAGACAGGAAGCCCCGGGTTCTGCCATGTCAGGAATCTAGGAGGAAAGAGCTACGCGGCACACAGGGAAAGTGGGGAAGTCTCAGACTCCGGGGCTGCGATGACCGTGCCACATCCTCTCCCAGCTCCACCCCGTGGCCTGAGAGGAGGAGTCTCAGGACACTACAGTAGCTCGTGGAACTGGCCCCAGTCCTTGGCCCAAAAGTTATTATGGAGTCCCCTTCATACAGTGGAGAAGCTTGGGCAGAATCCCAGGGAGGACAAGTGAATGAATCCATGGATTTAGGTTTTAGTATGCAAGGAGAACAGAAAAGCACAATTAGTAAAAGAGATCTAATTGTAATTAGAATGAGAAAGGCACAACGCATGTCATGATCTTAGGAATCAGCTAACAAACACTGCACGCCCGGTCACTCACGTCTTCCTTCTTTCACCTGAACCTACCTCAGATGCGCCTGCCCTCACCACACTCACCACGTGGAAGGAGCTGAAGTGATACTGCCTGGTAGGTCAGTTTGCAGGAGAAATAGATAACTGAGTTTCATCTTAAGAATTTCCTGAGCAAACAACTAGCATTTTAGAATTCAGACAGTGAACAATCTTTTCCTCTCAAGAAACAGAGAATGCAGCACTATTTTTAATTAGTGAACAGAGAAGGCCAACCAGGTCCTGCGTGGGACAGTGCCCGCTCCTACCAAGCAGGCAGACCCTGAAAGGGTGACTTGTCCCATGAGGGACGCAGCACCCACTGTCCTTCAGGAGAGCCGCTACCTTCATGTGGACGGCAGCAGAGCCGATGAGCAGCAGGGAGTCTCCGTCCCAGACGTCGATCTGCAGGGTCTGCATGGCCAGGTAGCGGGTGAAGTGGCGCCGCTCACCAGGCTTCAGGAACCCGGGGCCCACCATGTACCTCAGCTGGAAGCCAGGAGACCCTGGAAAAGAGGCCCAAAGGAGGCCAAAAGTAACTGGAGTCATTCATCATCTTTCCACTTGGAAGAGACTTTGGCTCTGGTCATGATTACTAATTTCTGCTTCTGTCATAGCTACAGTTAATAAACACATTAATCAAAAACATCATAAAATATCCAAATTAACAGAATGAAGAGTCGTGTTCAGAAGACTACATTTCTTTCCCATATAAACAATAAACTCCTCCCAAAATAAGATTTATGGTTTCACCAAGTCGTTGTAACAGCCTATGATGGATGGGAGCAAATGTCCTCATAAAGGCTGGCTGGGGAGTTCATTATTCTGGGCACGCAGAATTTATGAAGAAATGTAGTCTACATCTGCTGCCAAAACTGGCATGCTCACACACACAGGCGGAGCTCCAGCCGAGGTCAGGCTGCGAAGCCATTGTGGGACACCCAGCAGCCCCCTCTCCTGCCCTAACGCAGGACAGCCCCTGCTCCACCAGTATCCCAGGCTCCTCCCGTGGGGTCTGCCCAGGCCATCAGGCTAAGATAGGACTGGACTGTGGCCCCTGCCTTCATCTTGAAGTGGCGTTATCATTAATTCTAAATTGACAAAAATGCCATTGGAACCATCCCTAGTTAAAGTTCAAGGAACAGCAGTGCTGGGAAGCATTTCAAAACAACATTTATTTCTCTTTCTATCAATAATGGTGACAACATTCCTGCAGCCCCCAACAAGCAGAGGAAGGAGCGAGCGTTTCCTCAGAACCTCCAATACCAGGTCCTAGGCCAGGCTGAAGTCTGGCCACAGGTCCTCTCCACCCGGGCTCCAGCCACCTCAAGCCCCACGGGATGACCACAGACCATACCCCATCTGCTTTTCTCAAGACCAGGGGACAAGGAGTGAGTGCCATGTGTCAGGGCAGGGGACCGAGGGGGAGCCCCAGGGAGGTGGAACAGGACCCACTGCTCAGGCCTGGCGCTGGCCACAGCAGGAGGTCACGGGGGCATCTGGGACAGAAAGGCAAGTAAAGAATATGGACAAAGATCAAGAAGGAGCTGGCGATTAATATCACTCAAGGGCAGGCACCTCAGAGGTGACCAGCCACACGGCCCCCACCCCTGCCTCGGCCCCACCTATCCTGGACTGTGGTATCTAGCCAGAGCTCAGGACACACCCACGCACAGATGCAAGCCCCGTGGCACTCCTCGCAGGGGCAGCAGGCCCTGGAACAAAGACCCATGAGCACCAAAGCCTGGCTCAGGGCCTGACCTGCGCTGACCTGGGCTGCAGAGGAAGGAGGGGCCCAGGTCCTCCCTCCATTACTGGCCAGGCCTTTGCAGATCAACTCTGCACCCCCACCTCAGCCTCTCCCACACCACAGACCCTCCTAGAGTTCTAGGCACATCTCAAACACAGCTTGACCCAACAGAACCCTCTGTCGTGTCTCCCAGGGAGCTCCTTCCAATGCCCCACTGGGTCAGCCCTTGCTCCATCCCCACTATATCCCAGCATTGCCAGGGCGTTTCAATGCCACCACTAATCCACTCACTCAGCAAACAAACGACTGCGTCCCAGCCACATTCGGGGCCCTGCACGGGGTAATACTGGGAGAACTGAATAAGCAGGGCCCCGCCCTTAAGGAGCACAGGGTCTCAAGGACGGAGGTACCCTGAACCCAGAACTGACAGTGTGCTGAGGGCTCCTGAGTGGGGGGGAGGGGCATGCCAGGCACGGGACCATCCTGGCCTGGGCACCTCTGACCAGCCTCCCAACTTTCCCCACCACAGCCTCGGACCTCTCCCCTCCCTGTCCAGCCGAGACAAAAGGCTCCACCCCTGAGGTCCAAGCTCCTCATGGTCCACCCTGTGCCGTTTCCACCCCACTCAGAAGCCCGGGAAGCTGGCCTCCACCTGAACTAAGAAGACTCCCAGCGGCAGTGGCACTGTCCTCCCCAGTCCCACCTCTTGCACCCCCTTCACAAAAACCACACTACAGCCCAGGTGGAAGCCTCACTGCTCTGGGATTGAGGAAATGGAAAACACAGTAATGGTAGAAACTAACCACTCCCCTTTCAAAGGCAGATCCAGGCAACGATGAGCGAGTAACAGTCTAGAAAACCAGAGTAGCTAACTCAGGGATCGATCTTAATGCTGCACCCCAGTGGCAGAGAAAACAACTTTTCGAGTGTATTTGGAACATTAATAAAAACTAACCATATTATTAGGCCACAAAAAAACTACACTCCGTAAAGGAGAAATAATACAAATAATAATCTCTGAACATAATGCAATAAACTAGAAATTAATACAACAGCCTGGGCAACACGGTGAATGAAACCCCATCTCTACAAAACATATAAAAATAAGCCAGCCATGATGGTGCACACCTGCAGCCCCAGCTACCCGTGAGGCTGAGGCCGATCACTGGAACTCAGGAGGTGGAGGCTCCAGCATGGGCTGCAGAGCAAGACCTAGTCTCAAAAAAAAAAAAAAAAAANAAAAAAAAAAAAAAAAAGAAAATGTAAATTAAAAAAATAATAATAAATGGGCAACTTACTCATAAATAACTTTCTGTCCAAGGGCAAACACAATCAAAAAAGATCTTCTGGAAAAAAATAATGAAAACACTACTTATCAGTATCAACAATCATAAGGCAGTAATCATGGGAAAATTCGTAGCCTTGAATCCTGTATATCCATACAAACGAATTAAGATGAATGAATTAAGCAGCTCAAAAAAAATTAGGAAAATAGTAAAGAACACCAAAAATCAAGGAGAAAAGAGGAAATAGTAAAGATAAACACAAAATGTCATCAATTAGAAAACAAAAATATAGCATTAGCCATATGACACAAACTTTAAAACTCTTCAGAAAGGTGCACAGTAGACACGAACACATGGAAAGGCAGCCTCGTCCCTGGACCCTCATCTCCTTGGGGTTAGGTGTGAATTCTCCCTGTGTTAATCTATAATGTGATGGAATTCCCACAAAGATCCTAAAAAGTCCTTATGGAAAACGAAATAAGCAAGAGTACCCAGGAAAACCCTGCAAGAGAGATCAAGGTGGTGGGAGCTCTGCTTGCTAGGAATCTAGACGATGAAGGAGCCTCTGACTGAAGGTGCGGTCTCCGTGACACAGACACAGCCCTGTGCGGAGGACATATGCTGCAGCCTGAGGCCAAGCTTGGCAGTGAGATCAGAAACGGTTTTTATGTTTCTGACGGGTTGTAAACTAAAAGAAGAATATGTGACAGAGACCACGAGTGGCCCAGAAAGCGTCAAATATTTACTAGCTGGCCCTTAACAGAACACAGTTTGGGCCGAGTCTAATGGAACAAATTAGAAAATCTAGAAATAGCCCCCAAAGCGTGGAAAAGGTTGGTACATGATGAGGGTGGCTCTCAAGTCACCGGAGGAAAGACGGAGTTTTGTTAACAGGCGTGGGAACCGCTGGACAGGCACAAGAGACGAGGTAAAACTGGATCTGCGCCTCCCCTCACACAGTAGGAGAAACTGCTAATAGATCAGATGTCTAAACATAAAACCTGCAAGTCCGAGAAGAACACAAGCCTAAATTGCTCTGTAAAGCAGGAGAGGAGAAAGACTTTCTGTCTATGACTCAAAAATTTAGAAGCAAGGACCAGGCATGGTGGCTCACGCCTGTAATCCTAGCACTTTGGGAGGCTGAGGCGGGCAGATCACAAGGTCAAGAGTTCAAGACCACCTTGGCCAACATGGTGAAAACCCATCTCTACTAAAAATACAAAAATTAGCCTGGTGTGGTAGTATACATCTGTAGTCCCAGCTACTCAGGAGGCTGAGGCAGGAGAACTGCTTGAACTCGGAGGGCGAAGGTTGTGGTGAGCCGATATCACGCCATTGCACTCCAGCCTGGGCAATAGAGCAAGACTCTGTCTCCAAAAAAAAAAAAAAAAAAGAATTTAGAAACAAGAAAAGACTGATACATTCGACTACATTTTTTAAAAAACCATTTACAAGGCAGAGCCCACCAACAGCAAAGTAAAAAGACAAATGGCAAAGTAGGAAAACACATTTGCAATTTTTTACTCTATCACGAGGGTTCATGTCCCTAATGAGAGCTCCCCAGAACAGAAGACAAAATAGATTAAAAACATGATATGAAATCATGATATGAAACAGATATGAATAGAAGTGTGCAGATGAAGACAAATGTAAAAGATACTCAATCTGACTCATACAAAAGAAACGCAAATTAAAACCACACTAAGATGGCCTTCACATCTACGGGACCGGAAAATTCCCAACCTTTAACGCCCCACTTCGAGGGCGAGCAAGAGGAATCGGGCAGCCCCGTGGATCGCCAGCGGAACCTGGGCGGCACTGACAGAGGGTGTGGGCGGCCGTGTCTGTCAACACCTCGGAAGCCTTTGATTCCATATTCCCCCTCCCAGAACCAGAAAGAATCAAGGTTACTAACTGCTGAGATAGCAAAACACTGGAAATGATGCAAACGTCTATTGGGAGAGTGGCCGAGCAAACAGCAGCAGAGCCACCCCGCAGAGCACGACACAGCTGTAGCAGAAACGAGCACAGGTGATGTCTGTGATGTTCACTGAAAAACGCAGGGAGCAGAAGTGTGTATCTGGTATGTTACCAGTGAATTAGAAAGCAGGGAAATAAAATGTAAATGTTTGCTTATTTTTGAAGCAACAAATCAATAAAGACACTGCAAGGACCAGCCATACATGAAAAGTCTGGTGACCGTTAGGAGGCAGGCAGGGGGTGGAGCTGCAGGGATAATGGAGGCAAGGAGCCCCATGCACACGCCGGACTACGGTGTTCAACTTTCAGCCATGTGAATATTCCAAAACATTAAATCAAAAAGGAAGGAAAGCAAACAGAAAATTGAAAACAAATTAAACGGACATACTGAGTATCAAACTGGAGATAAGAATTATTTCGAGGGTTTTGGTCACTCTAAGCCAGTTCTACGCCCTCAGTGGGACAGGGCCCAAAAGAACCTGCGAAGAAC